ACATCCTCACAATCTGCTCTCAAAGCGAAGGATGTTGAGCCCAGAAACAAGCAAACCGCCTGAGACATCCCCACAAAATGGCCGCGAACGAGCCCGTGCAACCACCCCTGGCGGCTCCCCTTAGGGGTGATGAAACCAGCGCCCCGCTTGAGACATCCTCCAAATCTGATGTGTGTTGAGTAAGTCTGAGTATGAGTAGGTCTGAGTATGAGTATGCCTGAGTACGAGTAAGTCTGTGTATGAGTAAGTGTGTGTATGAGTAAGTCTGGGTATGAGTGGGTCTGTGTATGAGAAAGTCTGTGTATGTGTACGTCTGGGTATGAGTAAGTCTGAGTATGAGTAATACGGTGTATGAGTAAGTCTGGTATGAGTAAGTCTGTGTATGAGTACGTCTGGGTGTGAGTAAGTCTGTGTATGAGTAAGTCTGTGTATGAGTATGTCTGAGTGTGAGTAAGTCTGGGTATGAGTAGGTCTGAGTATGAGTAAGTCTGAGTATGAGTAAGTCTGAATATGAGGAGGGGAGGAGGAAAGAGGAGGAGGGAGAGGCAGTAGGAGGCGTCCAAGTAATAACAATAACCCCATCTTAGGATATGGGGAACAAGAATTTCCCTGGGGTCAGAGAGGCCTTCAAGGGCACCGTGGGCCTTGACCTTGTGAACCGAGAAGGAGCCCTTGATGTCTTGCTTCAGGAAACGCCAGATATCCCCCATCGTTGAACGACCATCCCAAGCACGAGATTCAGGAGCCCATCCTTTGACCAGGACAGCACAGTCCGCATGCACTATTGCTGGAGGCTGGCCCTCGGGTATCCTGCAGGCACAGTGGAACAAGGCAGCATGCTCTCCACGTGATGCAGTCTGAGGACAGGCTGCGGGTGCGTGTCCGAAGACTCCTCTCGCCAACTCGCCCGCATCTGCAACCTCTGCAATCCCCCATCCTGCCCGAGCAAGCACAGTGGAGGTAGGGGAGAGACAAGAGCCGCCCACAAACAGCTGCCTGTTCTGGTCGAACATGAAGGGCTGGATCTGCTCTAGCTCAGCATTGACAAAGACTGGCGACTCTTCAGGGTGAATATCAAACTCGACCGTGGGCCTAGCAGTCCACAGCCTGCTGAAGAGAGGTGAGGTGGGGCCGGCAGCAAGGGCCTCCTGCACAAGCTCCTCCTTAACCTCCCCCCTCCTGAGTCTTCCCAGGAATCCATCAGCTCCTTCACACTCCCAGCAGCGATGCCAGACCGTCCGCGCTTGAACTGCGCCTTCACCCAACCTCTGTATCTGAACCCCTGTTCTGGCGAGCAGCCACCATGCGCGGTCTGTCTCCGCGGACGGCGGCAAGAAGAGGAATTTCCCAGACCGCATGCTTACGCACGGCCGCCAGCGCCCTCCTCGGCAAGGGATGCGACATGTTTGGTCCCATTCCTGAACACGTCGGGATGCACTTCAAAATGCTGGCTACGTCCTGCGTTCGGCGCCCGTCGAAGTCGCCGTGCTAATCTCAAAACTCTCCGCTCCCGCCTCGAAGCGTCTTCGATCAAAAGCGCGGACATGGGCAGTGCGCATGCGGCGTGCACAGCCGAAGCTTGTCACGCGTTTTATCCACGCGCCCAATTTCATGCTGACGCTGCCAGGGCGTTTAGAACAAGGCTGGTTTGCAGAATGCATCACCTCTGCCCTGGTGAACCGCGGTTGGAGTTGAAGCAATGCTGGGCCGACGCTTTCCTGTCGATGGAAACGCCCAGCCGATTGATGACACCACTGTTCTGGTACTGCACCATAGTCCCGTTGATTTGAGCACTTACTTCCGGCGACTGCTCGGCAGCAGAGCCCGCAGTAAACGCGGCGAACGAGGAGGGCTTCCACTGCCAGCGGAACCTGCCGATTAAGTCCGCCAGCTCGGCAACCGCGCGTTGAAGCATCGCGGTTGATCGAGCGAAAAGCCACGCGTTGTCTGCAAACTTAACAAGGGATAAACAAACGCTACCAGTTGCCCATAACGCGACACCTACGCGAGCATCCTGCAGTTGGCACCTTCGACATCACGGCCCTGCACGCAAACCCTCTGCAAACTGAACAGCGACGTGCGGCCCGCATCTGGTATCTCTATGGCCCCGCTGAGGTCGCAAAATGCCTGTATGACTGCACGAACGAAGGCCGCGTTCACTCCAGCATCCTGCAAGGCCCACTCGACGTCCTGAAACCAGACTTCGGCGGATGCGTTTCTCAAATCCTGCTCGCCAATGTAAAGGCAAAGACCCCGACGACCAGCATGAGCGACGGCCTCGAAGACGCGCGCGAACGCGTCGTCCGTAGATGCACCCTCGGAATAAGCGAGCGATGGGATGTTGAGCGGTTCAAAGCCATTTGCATCCCAATCAATATGAAGTCAGAAAACTGTGCCACGGAAATTTCCTTCGGGATGCCCCTGTGGACGCGCGTTCGCCATGAGACCGGAACTGCCAGAAAAAAACATCCGAATCGAGACCTGAAGAACTTGACCACATGAACTAAGAAAGGAGCCAGCAAATTCTTCAAAACGCTCGGCGGGATGTCGTCGATGCCGCACGTCGCATCATCCCATAAACTCATGTCGTGCAATATGGAACCCGTCAGGTTTTCGACTTCACCTCAGACCGCAGAGTTTCCAGGCGATGGCGCTGCACAGCTACAAAGTCCCCCTCGTCGCAGAATGTGTTGTATCCGAAGGTATACATGCTGTCCAACAATGCCTGCCGACTCGATGAAAGAATTCCTTCGCAAGACGTATGTGCGGAAAAAGGGTTCTCATTGCGTCTACTTTGTTTTTGAAAAGCCTGCATGCGTTTTTTTACCGGTTCCCGCATGCGCGACGTCTCCGGCACAACCGGTACTGCGCTAAACGGGCAACCTTTTCGTCCCCACAGCAATGATGAAGTTTCCGCCTCAACGCGGCTTTCGATGGCGAGCCATCGCTGTTCGGGCACCCTTCTGTTTCATGGCGTGTTCAACCCATCCCATAAGACGGTAAAGATGATCTTGAAAGTCCCCAGCAGAGGAAATACTCGGAACAGCCTGCACGCACAACATATGGAATTCAGCTTGCGCTCGAAGGTTTTTAGGACGCTATCCCATCATAGTCGGTGTTATGTTGTAGAGGCACTCGCGAAAACTATATATATATATACATATACATATATATATATATATACAGACGCCCATACAGGATAATGATCGGAGACAGAAAACGGCTTACCTGGATTATGGAACACACATGATACAAATACATGCCAGAAGAAGCACAACAGTAGTCAATCTGGGACCGCTGTCTACCACGCGCCTGCGTTACAATATCATCCTCGAAACCATTCCCACGTTGAAAAATGTTAGCGGCGACCAAGCTCAAAAGCGACATCAACCCTATCAACTTTCTCTGCATCTGGGCAACCCGGAGGTATCGTTTTCGCACCAACCATGCTCTCGAAGCATCGGGGGAACGTCACATTGACATCAATGCATGCAACAATGTTGTGGCGGCCTGCCAGCACTGCGCATGCGGTTGAATGGAACAATTATATACTCTTAAGTTTGATGCAATACACCACCATCGTCAATGCCTAACTGAGGATCTGTCACGTGTACTGATCGCTCTCGCACGCTACTAAATTGCACGTCGGCCCGTACTCGTCCGAAACGATATCTCGCAACAGAGTCCTGGGAAGCAGA